TTTAGATTTTTATTTATATTTAAATAATTTTATAAAAATTTAAGTTTAATAATTTTTGTGAAAAAAATTTGCATTTGAAAAAAATTTACAAAATTTTTCGCTTTTAACTAACCTCCCGGTGCCCTGTAATTCATATTATATAGCAAAATGTAATAACACAGCACCTGCCTACCTGTCCCTAAAACCTACCAGTGCTCAATAAACATTTAAAATTTCCCGTAGAAATAGCATTGCTTTAAATAAAAATTGAAAATTTTAACACAAATTGAAAATTTTTGCATTTGAGAAAATTTTATAAAAATAAAATCTACCTGAGCTCAACAAAAATTTAAAATTTCTCATAGAAATTACATTGCTTTCAATAAAAATTGAAAATTTTTGCATTTGAGAAAATTAAAAAAAACATCACAGGTAACTAACCTCCTGGTGCCGAGACTCATACAATATAGCAATATGTTATTACACAGCACCTGACTACTTGACCCTAAAAGCTACCTGAGCTCAATAATCATTTAAAATTTCTCATAGAAATAACATTGCTTTAAATAAAAATTGAAAATATAACAATACATTTTTACATTTGAATTAAAAAATGGTTGTTGATGAAATGTGCATACATACAAACATACAGACAGAGACTATTATCTTAAAGTGTTATCTTGATTCAAAACTCAATCACAATTGGTTTATCATAAAAATGCTAAACATTTAAATATTAAATATGTTTGCGATGTCGACAACAATTATTGCTGTAAAAGTTATATTAGAAAATCACATTTAAATCAACATAAATCAAGCGTTCATTTTATTAATAATGAAAAAAAGTTTATGAAATGTGTTTATGATAATTGTAATAAAACATTTGCAAACAAACTAAACGCTTAATTAATCATCAAAATATCATACATTTAGATGTGATGTCGAGTATTGCGATAAAACATTTGCAACTAATAATGATTATCAAAAAAACACAAATTAATTCATTTGAAGAAAAACCGATTTCATTGTTCAGTAAACAACAAATGTTTGAAAACATTTACAACAAATTATTGTTTACTAAAACACAAATCCAATGATCATTCAATTGACCATAAATTCAAATGTGATTATAAAAATTGTCTGAAAATATTTTTTTACTTCACGCGGTTTATATCTACACAAACGTACCATTCATTTGGGATTTTAAAGCCATTCAAATGTGATGTCGACGACAACTGTGATAAACTATTTGCTCAAAAATCTGGACTTTTACGCCATCGACGACAAACACATTCAGTGATTAAACCATTCAAATGTGATGTCAATGATTGTAATAATTTTTTTTTATCAGAAAAGATTATTATCTTAATTATCATAAATTTCGATGTCATTAAATGTTATCTTATTATAACTTAATATTTATGTAAATATGATTTATTTGCTAATTAAATTATATTTAAAATCTATTAAGTTAGTCTATATATAATTTATATATAATTTATAATTTAATAAATTAAACTCTAAAAAAAAATTATCTATCAATAATAAAATAATTTTTTAGGGTTTTGATGTTTAAAATAATATATTTTGATTAATTTTTTTTTTAAATATAATAAGAATCATTAATTTTAATTTAATTAAAAAACATAATTAAAATTAATCAAAAAACTACTAAAATTAGTTAATTAGTGTAATATAATATATGTTAAAAATATTTATTTAACATTTTTTATACTAAATATATATATATATATATATAAATGATATTTAGATAAAAGCATATTAAAAACTGTAACTAAATTATTTAGCTATAGTTTAATAGTATTAATAATTATTTTTATAATAAACTTATATAAAGGATCATCAATCATGTAATAATTTATATAAAATAATTGACTCAAAAATAAGTAGTAATTAATTTTTATTTAATTTATTAATTACTAATTTTTTTTAATTGTTTTATTGTTATATCTTATTATTTATTATTTTATTAAAATTATTATATATATATATATATATAGATTAAGCATTATTATTATTATTATTTTTAAATATAAACTAACAATAATTATATATTTTAAATTACAGATATATATTATATATATATATAGTTATACTTTAAAATGCTTTAAATATACCCTACAATAAAGTATTAATAAATAAAGTCAATAATATTAATAATAAACAGGTTTTTAAAAGTGTTTAAGGCGTGGTTCACATATTACGTTCGCACTTTTTAAGAAATCTAGACCCCCTCCCTCCCCTATGTTCGCAATTGTTCGCATGTAGTCATTTAAAATAATTACGTTCGCTTATCCCTAACCGCTACCCCCCCCCCACCACCACAAGAAATAAGATATTATCTAAATGCGAACGTTCTTAAAGTCTCTACCCCTCCCTTCCCCTCGTTCGCAAAAGTTCGCTTTGGCTAACCCCCCCTCCCCTCAAGTGCGAACGTAATATGTGAACAACGCCTTAACACAAAAATCATATATAAAATGATATCATTTTTCTGGTTTCATGTGATTTCAAATGTCTGATCAAAACAAAACACGTGTTTTAATATTTTAATAATTTTTGTTTAATGAAACAGTAATGGAGTTGTTATTAAATAATGTTTTTAATCAAAAATTAATTAAATTAAATCAATTGAAAATTTTATCATTAAATTTACAACAAATTACTAACAATTACTTTGAATTGTTGAAAACCGTTGATAAAGTAAATATATCAACAAATGATTACATTTCTATGAAAATCACTGATTATAGTGACTGTTATGACAACAACAACAACAACACACGTGTGGATAACAGCAATAACACGCGTTTCGCGTGTTTTTGGCCTAAATGTCGGTTCAATACTATTGCAAAACAGCGTTTAATTAATCATCAATTGATTCATTCATCTGAAAAACCAATTAAATGTAATGTTAATAATTGTAATAAATTATTCAAAAGTCAATCATATTTTAATTATCATAAAAATGTTGAACATTTAAATTATAAATATGTTTGTGATGTCAATGATTGTGGCAAAAGTTATAATAGAAAATCACATTTAAATCAACATAAATCAAGCGTTCATTTTATTAATAATGAAAAAAAGTTTATGAAATGTGTTTATGATAATTGTAATAAAACATTTGCAAACAAACTAAACGCTTAATTAATCATCAAAATATCATACATTTAAAATCTAAAACATTTAGTTGTGATGTCGAGTATTGCGATAAAACATTTGCAACTAATAGTGATTATCAAAAAACACAAATTAATTCATTTGAAGAAAAACCGATTTCAATGTTCAGTAAACAACAAATGTTTGAAAACATTTACAACAAATCATTGTTTACTTCGACACAAATCCATTGATCATTCAATTGAACCGAAATTCAAATGCAATTATAAAAACTGTGACAAAATATTAAGATCTTTAAGTGGTTTAAATCAACACAAACGTACTAATCATTTGTGTTTAAAACAATTTAAATGTGATGTCGATAACTGTAACAAACAATTTACTCAAAAATGTAATCAATTACGACATCGACGGCAAACACATTCATTGATTAAACCATTCAAATGTGATGTCAATGATTGTAATAAATTGTTTACCAGAAATGATTATCTTAATTATCATAAATTTCAATGTCATAACATAAAACACATTAATTAATTAATTAATTTAAAGAAATTATTTTTTTTTAATAAACACAACATTTTTACAAAACAAATCATTGTTTACGACAACAACAACACAAATCAATTGATCATTTAATTGAACCACAGTTTTAAGATGCGATTACAACAATTGTGACAAAAATTATACAAAAACAAATAAAAGTCAAAAACAATATACATATGTGATGTCAATAATTGCAATAAAATGTTTTACCAAAAAAAAAGATAATCTTAATAATCATTAGACTTAGATTGCATTAGATATTTATGATTTTTTTTTAATTATTAATTATTACTATATTAATAATTATTTTTAAAAAAAATATTTATAATAATCATGTATTTATGTGTCCATTGTATACCAATTTTTAGTTTTAATATTTTCAACTCATGTTTCAACTAAATCGAAATTAATATAAATTTTTTTTTGTAATTCATTTAATTAAATTTATCATAATATTTGTAATGACAATAAATAATAATAATTATTATTATTAAATTTTATATATGAATATCATTTATTTAATAAAAGTTTGAAATAAAAATTATCATAAATTTAACAGCAATTTAGAGAAAATTATTATAATTTTTTAGCTATTTATTTAGTTTTCACTATTATATAATAATTATTTAATATTATATAACTATTATTTAATATTATATAACTATTATTTAATATTATATAACTATTATTTAATATTATATAACTATTATTTAATATTATATAACTATTATTTAATATTATATAACTATTATTTAATATTATATAACTATTATTTAATATTATATAACTATTATTTAATATTATATAACTATTATTTAATATTATATAACTATTATTTAATATTATATAACTATTATTTAATATTATATAACTATAAGTTATAGTATTATGTAATATTTAATAAAATTTTTAAATAAAATGCACTTTTTCTTTAAATATTACAAAAAAAATTTAATTTTTATAATTTATATATTATGTTATATAATAATTATTTAATGTTATATAACTATATAATAATTATTTAATGTTATATAACTATTATTTTATATTATATAATAATAATTTAATGTTATATAACTATTATTTAATATTATATAATAATTATTTAATGTTATAAATAAAATGCATTTTTTTTACTTTCAAATTAATATATATTTTAATAATTATAATAATTAATAAATTACACATAAATTAGAAAATAATATATTTATTATATGTTGTATATTTTTTTCAAATTCAAAAACAATAAAAAAAAATCGTACAAAACAATAGGCATAAAAAATTTATAATTAAAAATAAACAATTATTTTATTTTTTTCAATTTATTTTTTTGTCAATTTATTTTTTCAATGACTTTTTAAACTCAGCCATCTTTGTCTTTACCGATTGTGTGTCACCTAAACAAACAAACAAAACAATTAAATGATTACAACAATTGCAACAAACAATCAGTCAATCAATCAATCAATCAATCAGTCAAATGGCTTACTATTCTGATAGTCTCTAATCTGTCGGACAGTTATCTGTTTGATGTCATCGGTGGTCAAACTGACATCGTATTCACGTTCAATGCGTTGTTGCATTTCGACGGCCAGTATAGACTCCATACCGACTTCACCGAGTGTCAGATCATCGGGCAATGAGGACATATCGATACCGATTCCCTGCCATATACTAGACTTACCGCTACCCGAACCCGACGATCCTATTTATAATCAAAAAAAAAAAAATAAATACATTGTTTAGATTGAGTGGTTGGGGAACACCCTATAACTAAAACTATATATAACTAACCGGATTGTTCGGCACCTTCCCGGCGGACAATAGTCGACACAATCGGGTGTCGACAGTGAAGGAATCGGTCCATAACTTCCAGACACGACGGTATACGTTGCGTATTGATAACCATACCGATACTGGTCAGATCGATATTATCGTTGGCCGCCCACAACCCGACATCACCAATCGGTCCGTACTGTATGGCCAGTCCGCTCAGGCCATGTCTGACCCGACGTTCGCATATATGTTCCATAACAGAGTTGGCGTAACCATAGTTATTTTGGCCAACAAAACCGCGACCCGACGATTGGGAGCTAAAGGCAACAAAATAGTCGACGGACGGACAGTGTTTACGGGTGACGGCATCCAAGTGTCCCAAGGCGTCCACTTTTGGTGCGCAAACTTTGCGGAAAGTGGCCGCCGTCTGGTCGCCGATGAATGCATCGTTCAGTACGGTAGCAAAATGAAAGATACCGCCCAGTGGTCCCCATTGGAGGGCTTCGCTGACCAATCGTTCGGCACCGGCCACCGATGACGGATCGGATGTAGATATACGGACCTTAACCGGCGGTTGGCCACCGCATCGGGAGGTCGTCTCCTGTTCAATACGTTTGACAAACACATATTGGTAGTCGTTTTTGATGCCACTGCGCGAAACGAGTATCAGTTTACGGGCGCCGCGTTCGGCCATCCAATAGGCCACTTCCAAGCCGAGACCGCCCAGTCCGCCGACCAGTATATACACTTTATCGGCCGCAAACCAACTACGGGTATTGGCCACCAGCTCGACAGGTTTGATATCGGTAGTGACCATATCGAACGGTTCTTCGTCACGTAATTTGATCAACACTTTACCGATTGTCTGGCCACTGGCCACCGATTTGAATGCTTTATCAGCAGCCGCTTGTTGTCCAGTTGAATCGCACCGATAGTTTGTACGGACAATCGGCTGGACGATACCGCTGCTGACACCGGTGGCCAACCATTTGCCATACGATTGAATCAATGGGTGGAGTAATGATGTGTCACCACTACTACTACCAGCGCTGCGCTCCGGTATCAGTGATGTAATGTTATGGTAGACCATATTGCGGGCCAACAGTGCCCGATTTGCGGCCGCCACTTGACTCTGGTCATAGTTGTCCAAATCGATCCATCGACCGTACGGTGCGAGTACTTCGTGGCCGCCGCCGCCCGATTGCTGATCACTGGACAGTGGATTCAATACGACATCTACACCGCGACCATCGGTAGCCGCGAGTATCGTATCGCCAATGTTCGGGTCGTTTGCATCGAGTATACACTCGTCGGACAACTGGTTGCGGAGGAACTGGCGTTTAGCGTCGGTACTAACAGTGGCCAACACACGACACGACATTGATTTGGCCACTTGAATGGCGGCCAAACCTACCGAATCGCACCCGGAATTAATCAATACGGTTTCACCTTTTGCTAGCCCGGCCCTATTGATTAGGCCATACCAGACGGCAAAATAGGCACCGAAAGCCGACCCGGCGTCCTCCAGTGACCACTTGTCGGGCACGGGCAACAACAAACCGTCGTCAATGGCCACTGATGTAGCGATAGCTTTACCGCCAGTTGATTTGCCCATAACACGCGAACCAGTATCCGATCGGCGGCCGACAAACTCAAATCCAACCGATTTGTCCACAAACTCGGAGCCGGTTTGACCTTAAAATAAAAATAAAAAGCCAACCAACCCATCAATCAATACAATACTATTTATTAACTACCGGTATATTATAATAGCGCACTCATACCTAAAGCTAGAGCTACATCGGCACTATCGACACCCGAATAGTAGACTTCAACGTTGACAGTGTTGTTGTTGGCACCGGTAGTCTCCAAACTACCATTACTTGTAGATGACTTATCAAACCATTGCAAGCTATTTAGGTCACCCTTTTTGCCGACATCCAGATAGGCATCACTGGATCGGCACTTATTATAATCGGACTCCAAATTCAATAGCCTATATGTACCCCATTTACCACCAGTGCTCTGGATATTCATAACCAGATCCGATCGCAATATTGTCTTATACGGTTCACTATGAAAGTCAATGGGTTTGGCTACCGGTGCTGCTGATCCGCTGTCGCCATCGGTAACAATACATCGGAACCGATCGCCTCCCGGTTCCTGTCGCAAACAGTTTACCAGACCTATTGGTGATAATTATAATAATTTTTTAATCAAAAAAAACTACTGTTCCCCTTCCTAACTACAGGTGCTGTGTGTGTGTGTGTGTGTGTGTGTGTGTATCTGACTTACCAATAATACCGTTGAGATCGCTATCGTTGGCAAACAGCCATACGTTTTCATTTTTCGGCCGATCCTTATAATCGCGAAATCGTTGTTTCAATTCCTCAACCCATTCATCATATTTGCCAAACTTGACCTCAACTACCGCTTGGCCGTCGGGCGATACTTGTCGACCGCATCGGCGAAACAATAGTCCAGCATTGGCCACTGAATCCGATTTACGGCCAATCAATTGAAAGCCACTATTGGCTGCACTGTTGGCAAACGTCTGGATACGATTGGCCAGTAACTGGTCATTGATTTGGACATCTATTATATAATAATATTAATATCTGTAAAGCTTATGTAGTTTTGTAAGCAGAGGTATGTCCTAATCTCATTATACCTGTTAACTGATTGATCAATTGGTCGGCCGGTGACAGCTGTTGCCTAAACAGGGCAAACAAAAACCCGTTATCTTTGACGGCAGCCGAACGACTCATATCGGCCACCAACGACTCAATGGCCGCAGTGTCCGCAATAGCCGTATAACTGTCACGATAGATGAGCAAATCTACGGGTGCTTCAAGTGTAGGACAACCAAGTTTAGCGCCGGCACCGCTGCTGCTGCTGCTGACATCCCAGTCAACTAAACGATAGCCTTTAGATTGGACGTCATCGGGCAATGATTTCGGGTCGGGTGTGGCCACTGTATAGTCGACAACCAATGGATAGTGAAAAAAGTAGCCCATACTGTGCAGGACATCGGCAGCCATAATACCGGTGCCGCTACCAGTGTTCAACTCGGCTATACTGATCTGTCTTTGATTGTTTTCGTTGACAATGTCCAACATTGAACGCATGAGTCGCATGTTTGTATGGCCAGCGCTGTCCAGTAGGTCCTCCTCAACCTGAAGACAACTATCCACTGACTGGTTAGTTGATGATAGATATTGTTTCAATAGTTGACGTCTTTGTTTCAGATCATCGGTAACGGGATTACCGTTTACATCGTATACTGTCCGGTAAAGACCGTTCAATGTCCTCAATAGTACTTCACTATTATTATTGTCAGCGGCGGCACCGGTATTATCTGTCGTACCGTTCAAACGGTTCAATAGTTTAGCCAACTGGTCGTTGTTGTTGTCGGCATCGGATTCGGCTACGTTGACCACCATATCGTTGCCCAAACATTCGGCAATTTTACGTACAAATACATTACAATCGTCAATATATTGGGTCAGACGTCGGCGATCGACTTCTTCAATAGCCCTGTCCTCGTCGTTGGCCACCCATTGATACTTTTCCATCTGGACGTCGTGCATGACATTCCTCAACGGTATGTTAGCAAATGTCAGACGCCTGAGCTCCAGACCTATAGACGATCGACAGTTAGACATAGAGAGACAGAGAGAGACAGAGAGACAGAGAGAGACAGAGAGAGACAGAGAGAGACAGAGAGAGACAGAGAGAGACAGAGAGAGACAGAGAGAGACAGAGAGAGACAGAGAGAGACAGAGAGAGACAGAGAGAGAGAGAGAGAGAAAGAGGGAGAGAGAGAGAGAGAGAGACAGACCGTTAGTAACCACTGATTTTGTTTTGGCATTGGTCAGCACAGTCATCAATTTGGCATCAGCTCCCTGTCCTCCATCAACATCATCCATACCAAACAGTTCAATAGGATTGCACTTAAGTGACGGCATTTGTTGGCATACGTATACACCGCGACTGGTTGTATGAGTTATAAACAACTGGATCATCGATTCGACAAACGATATCCAATTGGCACCGATAGCACCGGTAGTCGACAGTCGTACCTTTGACCACGACTTGGATAGGCTATCGTATTGTATTTCTTGTATTTGTCTGAATACTGGCCCGTAATCAAAGCCCCGGACGTTTAGCTCCGTATAGTAGTCATTGGCATCCAATTTGTGACCTTTCCTATAATCACATTTTTTTAATAATAATAATAATAATAATGGGTTTTATTTTTGTTATAATAAAAATGTCATAAAATCTATTAAACCCCCCCCCCCAAACCTCCAAAAAATAAACATTTGATCCAAACTTTAGTTTTAATTTTATTATTTTTTTCATATTAACTAAAATTTTAATCTACAGTATAGACTGTTTTTTTTAAAAAAAAATTACAATAATTATAATTAATAATTATTTAAGATTATCATCAATGTAATCATTTTTTGTTTGTTTAAGTTAATTAAATTGTTTCAATAATACAGTATTTAGTATTTAAAAAAAAATATTTTTTAGTTAGGCGTGGTTCACATATTACGTTCGCACTTGAGGGAAGGGGGGTTAGCCAAAGCGAACTTTTGCAAACGAGAGGGATGGGAGGGGTAGAGACTTTAATAACGGTTGTTAATTTAGATATTATTTTTATTTCTTGTGGTGGAGGGGGGGGGTAGCCGTTAGGGTCATGCGAACGTAATTTTTTTAAATGACTACATGCGAACAATTTGAAAACATAGGGGGGAGGGGTCTAGATTTCCTAAAAAGTGCGAACGTAATATGTGAACAGCCCCTTATATGAAAATTAAATAATTTTTTTATCGTTAATAAGTTAATGAAAAATGATTTATTGTTTCAACTATTATTGATATACTATGTGTATGTGTATGTGTGTGTGTGTGTGTGTATGTATGTATGTGTATGTATGTGTATGTATGTGTATGTATGTGTATGTATGTATGTGTATGTATGTATGTGTATGTATGTATGTATGTGTATGTGTATGTGTATGTGTATGTGTATGTGTATGTGTATGTGTATGTGTATGTGTATGTGTATGTGTATGTGTATGTGTATGTGTATGTGTATGTGTATGTGTATGTGTATGTGTATGTGTATGTGTATGTGTATGTGTATGTGTATGTGTATGTTTATGTGTATGTGTGTGTATGTGTGTGTGTGTMTGTGTGTGTGTGTGTGTGTGTGTGTGTGTGTGTATGTATGTGACTGATTGTGTGTTATATGATCTGAGATTAGGATTAATTATGAGATTAAAATTTTGGGATTAAGTGTGTATGTGTGTATGGGTGTGTGGGTGTGTAATGTATTGAAATTTATTGACAGATTATGACTAATAATAATAATAATAATTACATACCAAATATCATCAATAATCGAGATATCATTGTCACCAATGGCTCGGCTGCTACCAGTCCACGACTCCGGGTCGTCCACTGTGGACACCCGTCCGGTAACGGCAACATGTTGTCCATCCAATAAAACAAACTCGCCGGTCGGCTGCAACAGCCGTACCGTTAGCTTAACCTCCGAGTCCTCCGCCAATGGTGTCAATCGTTTGAACTGGACATTATCAAACTGTACGGGTAGTTGATACCATTGGCGACCATATTGGGCGGCCAATCGTCGCCAAACAATCAACAAGTAGCCGCTGGCCGGAAATACACACTTTCCGTCGAACGAATGATCTTTGAGGAACTGGTAGTCGGGGTTACCCAATGAAAAACGTTGGACAAAATCGGCACTAGTCGACTGATTATGGTAGTCCGGGTAACGTTTAACTAGATATGATTTTGAATGATCCCAACGGATCAACGATGATATCGATTGGGTATCCCTGGCTACTGGCCACTGGACCGGCGGATACAGTGCTCCGGTATCAACCGATATGCCCAACTGATACAACTGGCCAATCGATTGTAGAAACATGTCCAGATTTTGTTGATTATTTGAACGTTTCAATAGGCCCAGATAGTTAGCACCGGGCATTGAACGTTTGAATATAGCTTGAAACAAGTGATGGGGTGCCAGCTCCAGGACTATAGCATCCGCGGGTATATGTTTGGTCAGTGATTCGTGAAACAATACCGGACTAATCAAATTGTTGACAAAATAGTCGGCCGATGCTAACCGTGCCGATGGACTGGTCAACCATTCGGATTCGGCAACCGATGTTGAGATCCATTTCGACGATCGTGGTCTGGGATCGGTTAGCACTAGTTTCAAGGCCCGAGTCATACCGTCGGTGGCCGGCTGGAGTAGTGGCGAATGAAACGGTATGTTTGCGCACTGGACTTCCCGGGCAAATATACCGTCAGCGGACAACTGTCGGACACATTGGTCGACATCCGCGTAGGCACCCGATATGGTTACCGAATCCTCAGAGTTATGACACGCACGGTAGACCCGCGGTGGACAACGACGTCGGGTTTCCTCCCAGGTTAGACCTACGGCAGCCATCATACCGTGTTCTACCTGTGCATCTTTGATGGCCTTTCCCCGCCAATAGCTTGTTATGATAGCCTGTTCCAGTGTTAGGCAACCGTCCGCATAGCCGCAAGCAATTTCGCCAAACGAGTGGCCAATTACGTAGTCCGGCCGTACGCCCAGTGCTGTAAAAACATCGACCAAAGCTACCTGTGTTTGTTTGATACAATACAATACAATTGAATGGACAGTTAGTTCAGTGAACCCATACCTGCATCGATGTTATGGCAACAAAATGATGTATTTTTTCGTTCAACGATTTCGGATCATCGGATAGTAGGACATAGAGTAAGTCAATGGAAAATTGTTTCAAAATATCGGCCGATCGCCTGACTGACTGTGCAAACACATCGATCTCCATAAGCGATTTGCCCATAGCTGTCCATTGGCTGCCCATACCGGAGAAAAAAAAGCAAACCGGCCGACGTGTTTGATTGTCCAGTTTGGTTACCTGTCGGCTATAGTGTAGACCACCGCCAGCGGCACCGGCGGTACGTTTGATCATCATTGACCCTCTGTAGGGAAAACCAGCCGAATATATGGCCGCCGACGGGTTAACAATTTCGCCTAATAAGGCCAGAAAATCGCGGGTCACTCGTTCGGGGTTTTGTTCAATAAAATCATAGATCGAGTTAACCGATTCCAGGGTACGGCCACATAGGGTAACCAATCGGGGCATCTGATCGGTACAAATCAATTGGTTATCATCAGCCGCCGACGGTTCCGGTCGGTCAATGTTTGGCCTAAACAATGCATGACAATTGACACCTCCGATACCGAACGAGTTGACACCGGCAATACCCGGTTGGTAGTCACGGTTTTCGGTAACCGGTACCAGGGGTGGACACATTGGTACGATATCTGATTTCAATGTACGCATATTAAGGTTGGCCGGTATCCGACGATTTTCGTAGACAATCAACAGTTTGGCCAACGATGCTACACCCGACGCACCCTCGCCGTGACCAATATTGGACTTTAACAAACCGACCGGTAGTTCCGTTTGCCGATCGCGACAGTAGGCCTCCAATATGGCTTTAGCCTCTTGCGGGTCGCCAACTTTAGTACCGGTGCCGTGACCTTCAAAATAGTTGACATCATGGGGATTGACACCGGCCTCAGTATAGGTAGTGACCATCAAATCGTATTGACTTTCCGATGACGGATAGAACATACCCGATATTTTGTAGCCATCAATATTGGTACGACTATGTAAAACGGTAGCGTATATACGTTTGGCACCGGGCGATTTTTGCAGGAACAGCGAGGCTACAGTTTCGCCCCGTACGTAGCCATTGGCGTCCTGGTCCCATACCCTGGACATACCTGTGCGATATATATATATATATATATTGTAAAAATTATATAACTATTTTTTTCTGGTTATATTTATTAGACAAACACATACATACATACACACACATAGACACTCACTCACTATCTCACACACTTACTCACTCACTCACAGACACTCATACACACACACACTCACACACACTCACACACACTCACACACACTCACACACACTCACACACACTCACACACACACACTCACAAATACACACACACTTAGATATCATATGTATGCATAGTGTGTGAGTATGAGTGAGTGAGTGAATGAAAGAGAGAGACAGAGAGAGAGAGAGAGAGAGAGAGAGAGAGAGAGAGAGAGAGAGAGAGAGAGAGACAGAGAGAGAGAGAGAGAGAGTAATAAATAATAGACATAATTAAAGTCTATTAAAAACAAACCAAACAAACAAAAAAAGCTAACTAACCCTGTCTGGATCCGATCCCATTAACCTGATAGATATGATTGGTAAACGGCTGCAAATTGACACTACACCCAGCTACAATAGCTTGGTCACATTTGCCCAGTCGGATATCGCTGACGGCATAGTCCAGTGCAACCATTGATGCAGCACAGGCAACATCGATGGACATACTGGGCCCGTGAAAGTCAAACATAAACGATAAACGGTTTGCATAAAATGCTTTACTTGAACCTTGAAACCAGAACAGGGACTCGGTTTTCGATGCCTGTATGTCCTCCTGAACCTCCTGGGGTATACCGTCGGGCATTGTTACCGAAGTATAGCCAACATAGACACCGGTATTACTGCCGCGCAGTGACTGAGGATTTATACCTAAAAAAAAAAAAAAAAATATGTTTTGTTGTTTAGTAGTCATACATATTCATAGTTATTAATAATACGGTATATATGTTATGATAGGCCACACATATATAGCCTATAGGCGCCAACTAACCGGCGTCACAGATAGCCTCGTAGGTTGTCTCCAATAGTATACGACCGGCCGGATCCACTTCGTCGGCCACTTTGGGAACTATACCGAAAAATGCCGAATCCAATTTGTCCAGTTCCTTTAGTTTGCCCATACGCGGGCTCATACCGTACAGATCTAGTGAGTTAGACCATACAAATAGATACATAAGCCACACATTTTCAGCTACAGTTCCTCTTCAGTTAATTTATTCAGAGGACAGACAGATAGACAGACAGACATACCTGTAGGCCAGCGTCGGTCGTCACCCGAAATCATGTCGACATTGTTGTAGAGATTGTCCCGAAATTCGTCCATTGAGTCCGATTCGGGGAATCGGCCGCTAATACCGCTGATGACAATGTCTTCATCGCATAGATTTAGCCTAAACTTGGAGCTACCGGTGCTTGAATTGGATGCCATGGTTTAGAAACTTTTTTTTTTATTAAAAAAAATATATATTAATTATCTGTTTTTTTTAGATATAATTAAAAAGTTATATAATATTTATAATTAATAATTAAAAAATTGTATGAATTTAATAATAATTATATATAATATTTTTATAATTATAATAATAATATTACTAAATATATGTGAATTTAATGATATATATATATATATATATATATATATAGATAATAATATTTAAGATTATTTATTATTATTTGTAATTACTTTAATAGCAATATTTTTTTTAAAAATAAATAAATAGGAAATAAGTTTTTTTTTTAAAATAAATAATTAATATCTAATTATAAGGGCTTATATCGGAAATTATTTAATATTAATAATTTTTTTTTTAATAAGTTATAATAGTGTATATAATATTTTTGTAATTTATTAATTAAATATATATATTTAAAAAAAATTAAACAATTATAATGTAATACTTTATATAAAAAAATTTTTTTTTTGACAATCAATACTTACAATTTTGTATTTAAATTTTTGATTAATAAACAAACAAACAATCAAAAAAAATCAATACTTAAATATTAAAAAATATATATATATATATTTTTCCACTTAATAATACTTCAATTAAAATAAACAAAAATATTTCATTAAATAATAGAAATTTTACGTCAAAAAAACAATTTATAGTTTTAAAAAAATATTTTACTACTAATAGATCACTATTTTTTTAGACAAACAATTTTTAGACAAATCAAATATTACATATAATAATAACAATTTTTGTAAAAAAAAAACTATTAGTTTTTTTTGTTGATGAGACACCCACTCAATCAATCAATTGCTAGATATGCTTAGCTTTAGAGGCTTAGGTATGCAATGAAGATCTTCACCAGTTGGCTACCTGTGCTGCTAATGATATTAATTTGAAAAATGATCGCTAATTTAATAAAAAAAAACTTTTTTGTTGTTTGTGGTATAACTTTTTTTTTTTGCTAAATTATAATTATTTTTATTCATATATATATATCTTATGTAAATCACGGAAATAATAGTAAAAAATAAAAAAAAATATTTGACACAAAATAATATATGAAAAAAATATATTATAATATAGATATTTATATCTCATGTTTACGTAATACTCTCTCTCTCTCTCTCTCTCTCTCTCTCTCTCTCTCTCTCTAATATAATCAAAACCGTAACTATTTTTAAAAAATACAATTATATTTATATATATATATTTGTTTTGCTCTATCAAGTGGTTCAAGTTTTTTTTTTAAACAATTATTATTATTTTCAATAATAGATAAATATATGTAGATTTTATAAATATATTGTTTTAATATAATATTGTTTTAAGTTCAATGTTAATAAATATGTAAAATTAAATTATTTAAAAATAGGTCATGGTAAATTAGATATTGATATTTTTTATATTAAAAGTAATAATAATAATAATAATAATAATAATTATTATTATTATTATTATTATTATTTAATTTGTTAAAATAAACAAATTAAATTTATGATTTTAATTAAATCATATTTTTGTGTTTTTAGATTTTTAAAATTATTTTTGCACCTGAAATAAATCGATAGTTTAAAAATTAAAAAATTGTTATTAGATTTATAAGTTATGATTTATACAATTAAAATCTAGCTATCGATTGATGATAAAAATATGTGAGATATATATATATATAGCTATTGACGCCAATAGCCATAGTCACGGGATATGTAGTATTAAATAGCATACCTGAGCTATAAAAAAAATATTTTGCAAAAATCATATATAAAAACATAAACATAATTAGTATTAAATAGATAAAAAAATTTATTAAACTTATTAAACTATTAAATTAATTTTATAAATGTTTTTTAATAAAATTATTAAGTCTATAAAATAAACGGTATTTTAAAAAAACTTTTTTTTAAAGTTCACTAACTTTTTAGATATTAAAAAAAATATTACTTTTTACTAATATATATATATATATACAGTATATATATATATATATATATATTCATTATCATATTTAATTATTTTTAAAAAACAAACACATAATATGCGGGATCTACTGTATTAGAAACTAAATAGTTAAATAATAATAATAAAACAAAAAATTAATTTTATTTAATATATTCAATAAAATATTAGACACAAAAAAACACTACAGTATTAACTATAATCTGAAAAAATACTGTGTATTAATAATTATCAGTCAAAAAAAAATCATAGACAACACACACACACACACATAATAGTGTAAAAACTATTAAAATAAATTAATCATTAAATTACTAATAGATAATTAATTGCAAAACAAACAGTTATTTGTTGGCTACAAACCTGTATGTGTGTGTGTACAGTAATAGCACCGACACTACTACTACTACTACTACCAGTGACCACCAGTACCGCCGCCGCCGCCAACACTATGCTGTCATCATCGGCGCCCAGTCTGACCTTACAATTGATAACAATATCTATAATCACATTACAACGAACCAGAGATCACAACTCAATCGATACCAATCGGCCGATTGCCGACACCTACGACTACATTGTGGTCGGTTCGGGTACGGCCGGTTCGATAGTCGGTTCACGCCTGTCGGAAGATCCCGGTGCCAGTGTACTGGTGCTCGAAGCTGGCGGTCCGCAAACCGTACTAACAGATATGCCGGCTATGGAACGCCGACTAATCGGTTCGGATGTCGACTGGTCCTATCGGACAACCCGTCAAGCGGGTGCCGGCTGGGCATTCGGTGGCCGAGTACCGATACCGCGTGGCCGGGTAGTCGGCGGTTCGCATAACCTAAACTTTATGGTCTATTCGCGCGGCAATCGCCGCGATTTTGATAGTTGGTCTCAGCGTTTCGGTGCCAGCGGTTGGAGCTATTGGGAAGTGTTGCCCTATTTTCTACGATCGGAAAATCAAACCGATCGGGAAATATTGTCAGCGAATGCCGGTTATCACTCAACCGCGGGTCGTATGGTTGTAGCGACACCACCATCGGTTGATCCTATACTCCAGAAATGGATGGACATACAAGTCCAACAAAACGGTATACCCATAGTCGACCAGAACGGTCCGGGACAGTTAGGTATCAATTGGTTTCAGCAGACCATCTACTATCAGTCAAACGCTACCCGATCGACAACGGCCAGTGCCTATCTGGAGCCGTACGCACGCGGCGGCGGTACCATACGTCCTAATCTACAGGTGCTGACACGTGCGTTTGTTACGAGACTAGTGATGACTACCGATAACACGGGTGGTAGTAGTGGTGGTGGTGGTGGTGGTGTACGGGCAGCGGGTGTCCACTACGAGCATAACGGTCGCGAGCATACGGTATACGCCCGACGAGAAGTGGTGCTCAGCGCCGGTATGTTTTATTTAACTTTAATTATTATTATTATTATTACACAATTATTTATACATATAATTTACTGCAATTTACTTTTCATAAACTATATATATTGATATGATATTACAGTAATTATTATTATTATTATTACTTTACAGTGATATTGATTTTTTTATGTTAAGTGTGTTATCAGGGTCAACTTGAAATATTCACAAAACTATATATATATATATATTAGATGAACTTTACTATAATAATAATAATAATAATAATACTAAAAAAAATAATTGCATTAATTTATAATTATTTATAAATCTTTTAGTTTAAACAATTTATAATTAATCTAATAAATAAATCTAAGTTTGTTTATATAGATAAATAAATTTATATCACATATTGAAAAATTACAGTTTTTATATTAATTATAGATAAATTAATAAACTGTAAATTTTTAATAATACTAAATTTATTATTAATATAAATTAATAATAATTTTTATACTTTTGATAGTATAAGCGTCTTGTAAAATTTTAATAATAATAATATTTTTTATTTTTTAATTAATTAAAAAATTATTAGATTTTAAAGTTAATAAACTTTTTTATTATAATAAAACAAAACAAACAAACAAATTATCACTAATAATATAATATAATTATTATTATTAGTTATTTTTTATAGAAAATTATCACCCAGGTTCAAACTTTATTTAGTCTATTTTTAAAAAAAAAACATTAAAATTTTTACAAATAAAACAGTTATACGGTAAACCTAAATTATAAAAAATACAAATAATTAATTTTATAGTCAGTTATAATTTTTCAATTATTTAACTATTGTTTCTATTAATTATTATAAAATGTTTAATTAATTAATAATTATTTTTTAATATACAAATAGTAAAATAATTATCAATTAGTTTTAATTAATTAATTCAAAAAATTTATAAAAATTTATTTTAAAAAAATTATAAAATGTAATCGATATTAATTAAAAATAATTATTAGATTTTTCAAATTAATAGATTTTTTTTATTATTATAAAAAAACAAATAAAAATTATCACTGAAAAAAATTATATAATATAATTATAATTAGTTTTTTTTACAAAAAAAAACAAATAATAATAATAAATCCAAATTTATCATCCAGGTTCAATCAATTCACCACAATTGCTAATGTTATCGGGTATAGGCCCCAGACAACACCTACAGGAGCTAAACATACCGGTTCTGGTAGACCTACCTGTTGGCTACAATCTAAAAGATCATGTATACGTCCAGTTGGACTACCAGGTCCTTAACAAATCGTTGGTCAACTCCCGTAACGATTTGACCGTCGAAAACATGTACGACTATTATGTCGGGGCTGGCGGTCCACTGGCACAGTATCCGCTAGTCTACCAGTATCTGAATAGTCCGATGAATAACGAAACCGATTGGCCTGATCTGCAAATCGATTTGAATGTTGCACCAGTAGGTAATAATCTGACAGCACTGGTAGCCAACAAAGCCGTCCATCGGCAACAATGGGAGGACTACTATAGGCCACATTTGGGCGATAATACCCGACTGGGTATACTATGTTTTCACTATCGGCCGCACAGTGTCGGCCGTCTACGGCTGGCCACAGCCGATCCGCACGATCAGCCACTATTGGATACTAACTATCTGGACTATCGGGGCGACGGTTACGACATTCGGGCACTGGTAGCCGCCATACGACAGGCTATGATCTGGGCTAATACTGGCCAGTTTAGCCAATATGTACGACCGTGGCAGCACCCGATACCCGGTTGTCAACTATGCACCGATGCTGTTCAGGCTATACACCTGTGCGACCAATATCTTGAATGTTATGCCCGATCGTTGACAATGACTGTCGGCCATCAAGTGGGCACCTGTAAGATGGGCGGCGGCGGCGGCACCGGTAGTACCGATAGTGTAGTCGATGAGCGACTACGTGTGCGCGGTGTCCGAGGCTTGCGCGTAGTCGACGCATCCATTTATCCCGATATAACCAATGGTAATACCAATGCACCGACGGCTATGATTGGCGAATACGGGTCGCAGCTGATCCGGGATGACCATCAAAAATCTTATAGGGCTGTCCCACCCCTCCCTCTGATTATGTCATACTAGACTAATAAAACAATTATTATATATATATTTTTAAAAATAAATAAAATCATTACTAATGTAAAGTAATACTAAATTAATTTTTTTTAATTAATATTTTATTTATTTAATTTATTATCAAAAAATATTCAACTATTTATTTATATTATCTATAAAAATAAAAAATCAAATTTTTAATAACTTAATAATAAATTAATAAGTTTTTAAAAAAATATTAACTTGAATATTTTTTTTAAATAATTAATTTCAGATTAAACTTAACTTGATAATTATAATTTTATAATATAATTAATAAATAGTAATATAAATTTTATAAACTATAGTTTTTTTATATTATTGTGTAATAAATGCAACTAAAATAAATATATTTGAAAAATAACTATTTTTTTGTAAATTAGTTTTATTATAATAATTATTATTGAAATAATACTAATATTATTTAAATATATAAAGTATATATATATAAAAATTTAAAATATCTAATATTATATTAATTGTAATAATAGAGTGGGATATTATAGACTAATAGTTAATAAATAGTTTACATATATATAAAGATAATAAGTTTATCCCAAATAAAATATTAACAGTTTTTTTTAAAAAATATATAGAGTTTTTATTATTGTATTATATAACACTACTGTATATGTATTAAAATAAAAAATAAATATAAGTTATATATATACAGTATATTTAAAATTAATAACCTAGATTAAATTTATATACTAGTTATACTAATCAAATAAATTATATGGCCTATATTTCATATGATCTATTTTAAATGTTTTAAATCTATAATATTTATATATTTAAATTTATTAATAAATAAGTATCAAATAAATTATTAACAATTAATTAGACCAATGGTAATGCCAAGGGGCTCAGCTGATCCGGGGATGACCATCAAAAAAAAAAATCTGATAGGGCTTTCCAACCTAATAATTATGTTATAATATAGATAAAATAAAATAATATAATTAATTAATAGATATTATTTTAAAAAAAAAACAAACAAAAATATTCATGCTAATATTATGCAAATCAAACAAACAAAAAATTAATTAATTAATTAACTATTAAAGTTTTAATTAATGTATTTTTTATTTATTAAATCAATATAATATTTATTTTTTTAAAATAAAAATGTTTATTAATTAATAAATTACAGTTTTGTTAAAATAATTATTAGTTATAAATTAGTTTAAAATTATAAAATAAATCTAAATTAATCTAAATTAATAGTTTTATAAATATGATCAATTAATTTGACTAAAATTAATTTCAACAAATTGGTAATTATATTTTGTTTTTATTAATTATGTTTTTTTTAAGTAATGAAATAATTACTAATATTATAGTTTTTTTTTATAAACAAATTAAAATAACTTGAATTTTTAATAATTAAAAAAAAACTTAAACCAAAAAAAAACCCAATTCAAAATTATTAATAGTATAAAATATTAATAAAAAAAATTTATTTATACATATTAAATTAAGATAACTATTATAATTTTTTTTTTGTAAAATCTATTTTATTATAAAAATGTTTTATTTCACTTTTGTTAATAATATATATACAGTATATATATATATATTAGATAAAATAAAATAAAAAAAAACGTTTTTTGGAAATATGATATATATATATAAAATATTAATTTATTAAAAATTATTCATTATGTCATTTTTTTCTAATAGTAATTCAAACTATTGTTTATATTAACTTAATAAAATTGTCATTAATTAATAAATTATAGTTTAAAATATTATACAAAAAAAAAATATTATATAAAAATTTGTAAATATATTTATATTAATTGTTTGTATTTTTTTTAATAATTCAACTTTATAATTAAGTTAGTTATTATAACAATAATAATACTATAAATTATATAATTTTTTTTCAATAATAATTTACAGTTTAGATATTTACGGTAATTTTATAATATTAATTAAAACTAATAAATTTAAAATCTCAATAGAAAATGGTTTGTAATAATTATGTAAAATTAATATTTTAATTAAAACATTTTTATTTATTTATTTTTTAAACAAAAGTAATTAATTTTTTTTATTAAAAAAAATATTATACATTTATATCAATCAATTTTTGTTTTGTTTTAAGTCCCTACCCGTTGATATTGTAATTGTTATTTTTTTTTTATTTTCAAAAATTATCTAATACATTAAAATATTTATAACCTAGATTACATTTATATAATTATTATAATAATAAATTATTTTGTTTATTTGTTTGTTTAAAATATTATTACTTAATTAAATAATTTTTTATAAATATAAAAATTTAAAACTATGTTATAAATTTGCTTAAAAGAGGACATACCATATATCTATACAAATAACTAATTAGTATTTATAATATATATAAATAAATTTTATTAATTAATTAATTATAGTTTTTTATAAAAAAAAATTTAATTAAATAAATACTAAATTATTCCAGATTAATAACAAATAGATTTTATAAATAAATAGTTACTAATTTAATATGACAATTGTAATAATTTTTTTTTAATTAAATTAAAAAATTAATTGTTTTTTATTTATTTAATTTTTTTCAAAAATAAATAAATGTTTAGTTAACTATAAAATAATTAATTAAATAATCATTAAAAATAATAGCTAAAATATTTTTTTAAAATGTAATTATAGATAGTAATAAATTTTAAAACTTTATTTAAAATATTATTTAATAAAAAATGATTAGTATTACTAGTTTTTACAATTAGCAAAAAATTTATTACATATATAAAAATGATTAATAGTTTTTAATATAACGACAAAAAAATATTGTTTATTTTTTAATATTATTTTTTGATATTAATATATAAATATACTATTGTTTTTTAAGTTTTTTTTAAAAAAAAATAACTATAAAATAAAACTGTAATTTATTATTAGCGATAAATTTGTTATCTATATCTATATTTTTAAGATAAATTAAACTTTAGATAGTATTCAACCACTACAATAAATCAATTTATATTTTTAAAAAAAATATTTTAATAATTATTTATATTGATCATGATAGTATTTTAATATTATATTTTTTTAAAATTATAATCTTAATTAATTAATTAATAAAAACAACCATCATAAACCATTATGCAGTAAACAATTATTATAACAAAAAATAATATAATTTATATTAAATATTTAAAATTATAGATAATTTATTTTATTTATTTATAAAAAAAATAGTCATAGTCAATGTTGTAAAAACCAAAAAATAATAATAATAATAAACTTATTATTAAAATTTTATTACTGTATTTTTGTCTATAAAACAATATAATGTTTATTTTATTTATTATTATTATTTTTTAAAAATATATATAACACTACTGTATGTATAAAAACTAAAAAAAAAATATTTATAATAATATCCTAGATTATATTTATATACAAAATATAATCAATTGTTTAAATTAATTATATTAAATGTTTATTAATAACTAAATTATAGTTTTTTATTTTGAAATACAATAGTATTATAAAATTGTTTTTTAAAATAATAAATTAAAATATTAGTTAATTAAATAGTATTTTAATTTTTCAATTAAATTTAATGTATTAGATATTTAATGAAATAAAAAACTAAATATTTATAAATATTTACAGTTTTTGCAAATTATTTTTATTATTATTATTATTATTGATTAAAAATATTAATATATTTTTTATATATACAAAAATATATATTGATTTTTCTTTATATATATAGGTTTTGCTACTTTATATGTTAAACCATAACAAATATTCAAAAATAAAAAAAATATTTTATATAAATTATATATAAATTGTAAATAATTTAAGACTAGATTTTTGTTGTTGTTTTTATTTTAACAGTTGACAGTCCCCATCACCCATAACCCAACTGCACACTAGAAAATTAGGTACTACCAGTTCCCCACCCCCTACTACCCTCTTAACCAGTTATACCGCCTAACAGATTGCCCAATAGACCACCCGGTCCCAACAGGCCCAGTAGTTTGAGATTTTGTAGCAGTAGTAGTACAAGTCCCAGTACGTAGCATAGGGTATTGGTCAGCGGGATGACATCACCGGGTACTGAATTAGTACCGCCCAGTACTGTTTGCAATATGGGTGAAGTCAACTGGGACAGTACGGTCATCAGGATGGCACCCAATATGCTACCGACATCCTTGAACATCATGGCCGCCATTTGAACCTGTTTATATATACAGTATATATTTATTACAATACTTATAATAATTAAATACTAAATTTATAACTTATAATTATAAATTATAACTATAATTATAATAACTATATAATAATTATAATAACTATATAATAATTATAATAACTATATAATAACTATATAATAATTATATAATAATTATAATTTATTTATTTATTATTTAAATTTTGTAACTAATGTATAAAAAAATTAAATTAAATCAATAATAATAATTAATAATATTTTTTGTTAGAAAATGTAACTAGTATATTTTTTGTTAAATAAAAAAACAAACAAAATATATATCTAAATATAAAACTAATTAAACTAAAATTATTTTTACACAATTATATATCCCATATATATATATATATAAATAAATAAATATTAAATTATTAATTAATTAGTTATTTAAAAAAAACAAATGCAAACCCCTATCCCAACCTCCTATCTATACATACCTGTGGTACGCATTTTTCCGGTAGTGTAGTGTTCATACCGGGACCGGGCGGTGCACCGCTGGGCATCATCGGACAGGTAGGACAAGCACCGGGCGGCGGTGTTGTGTCTCCAGGTGCAGGTGTTGATCCATTGGTTGGCAACCCTAGACAAGCCTGGGCACATGGACAGGCACAGGTATTGTTTTCCGGTGTACACATACCGGTAACGTTGATCGGTTTGGGCGGTGCAACCGTTGTCGGTGGTCCACCAGGACCGCCAGGACCTCCCGGGCCACCTGGACCACCTTGATTATTATTGATAATTATTAGTTAATACA